GCCAAGCTATGGCAAGACAAGCGATCGAAAAAGGATGGCGCGAGCAGGTCCAGGTGGGACCAGTACTTGGAGGAAAGAAGCTACCAGATGGGCTGGCTTTAGTTCTCGCCAGGGAGACTATTTGGGCACCTCGAAGAGGCTACCCCAGCGTTCATAGTTTTGCCCCTTGGCCCAGCTACGAGGAGCTCAAGCACGAGGGCGATGACCGGAACAAATCCGGCTACTCTAGATTTCCTCCACTGCCCCGCGGTCGTGGGAATGAGACGGTGAACTGGAAACAACGAGCACCTATAAAGCAGTATCGATTCGACGAAGTCGGCCGCCCAGTGTTGGAGACAACGAGTGTTCGTATTCAGGATCTTGAAGGTGAGATCCTGAGGCTTGTTGGTGGCGCTCTGCTAGCCGAGCTAGGGTGGCTGACTGCCATATCGTTGCATCGAGAAGATTGATGATGGAAGAGTCGAATATCCGTAGATAAAGACGACAAGATGGAGAGCTTCTAGGACGTCAGAATATCTTCGACCTGACAAATGTCTCTCACCACCACACAAATTCTTTGCTATCGGAGTAAAGGGAGCTTCCTCGAACAGAATGGGAAAAGCCGCAAAACATGTATCGGTGAAGTTTTTCGTTTAGATGGGTGTGGCAAGGCTTTGGGCATCCCAGGAGTCTTTGGATGATTAACGAGTAGGACTAAGAAGTTTCGATGATTTCATTTTTCATTTTCTCAGCAGGGAGTTCCAGGCGTTTTGTAATTTTTAGCATTGACCTGTCAGGTTGCTTGCTAGAGTTTAATTGTCGCTTGTAACTATATTCCGTGCTACCCATGGCCTTTTTAGTACGGTGTACTTTCAAATATATTAGAGCCCGACCCAATCCCATCATCTTGAAAGTCGTGAAAAGTGCCATGTTTGGGAGGTGGTTGCACTCGTTAGCCATGGCTGAACATCGGATTGATGCCATCCTAGATTCCCTTAGAGGATGACCGGTAGCATTCCTAATGGGAAACGGGTAGCCCATGTTTTGCAAAGGCCCAGTGAGTAGCTTGTACCAATATATTCGCGGCCGAGAGGGTTTCTTTTGAGGGATCCAAACGAACAAGTTAAACGGGGGTAAAAGTTGATCAAGTCCTACCAGAGGGGCTGCAGGCATTTTCAAGCTCTTTCAAACCCGCGATCGCATCTTCAACAGCGTTGGTGGCAACGCCAGCAGGCTTGTTGAATTTTCCATATCGCAGATCGCTTAATTCCCCTACGGTAGATGCAAGGTCCGCAAAAATACGTGCAGCTTCGGCATCTGCGGCTTCAATTTCCCGTTCCATCGAGGAGCAAGCATTTCCCATCTCTGGTAGAAGGGAAGCCAAGGTGTGCATATCCCCGGGGGAAATGGTAGGCTCTCCTGGGCCGAAAAGCTGGATGTCCATCTCTGTTTCTAGTTTATCGTGTTTGTCCATTCCACTTACCCCAGTGGCTCTTTTTGCATTTCGGAGCGCTTCTCTTTGTCTCTCACCTCTCCATATCTCTTTGTCAATATTCTCCCTGACAAGATCAAGGTCCTGAGAACGAATGTGTTGCAATTCTCGATATAGGACCCTTACTTGTGGGTGGGACCGGAGGCGTTTGGGGAATAACTCCGTGAACTTTTCCAAAGAGATGATAGTAGGCAGCGGAGATGGGGAGAGAAGGAAATTTGCCAATATTGACACTTCGGAAGGGGCCATGATGGATGACTGGCGACAACAATGAAAAAAAGAACTGGGATTCAACCAGCCAGATTTTGCTTCCAACTTGAAGCAGTCACAGCAATACAACTCAGTACAAAAAGTGCCCAGGTGCACTTGAAACCGGCAATAGAACACCACAAACCCGTACAAATTTAAAGCCCAGAAATGCGGAGGTTGCAACAAGTATTCAGATCTCACAGAGGGAATAAGCCGAGAATTGCCTTTGAATTTTCGTGTTTGTTGTCTCCATCTTCGCGCCGAAGTAGAGCTGAGGTTGATTTTGCTCTGCAGCTGACATAAGCTCAGAGTCATCAACGCGTTTTAAGCGCAAAGTTACAGGATGGTAACGCCTGATACAGGGTAATACCGGCGCGTGATTGTGAAAAGATTCAAGGGGCCAGCAAGGCGCAGGATCTGTCCTCGTCGGTGACTTCCATACATCACAGCACACCTCGTCTGCTGTTCCTTCGATTCCTCTCTGCACGGCAATCGTTATACCACCCATACGAACATTTGGAATTTTCTTTTTAGGAGGACCTAGTGCTGCGTGGTGCTCGTCATCGAGTGCTTGACATCCTGTACGGGATTTCTTCCACCCTGTTTCGATAAAAGCATCAGTTTTGCTAGCTGAGCTTCTTTCGTACGTTGCAGTAATATCTGTTGCTTTTGCTTGTGCTTTGTGGCAGTAGTTTCTCTTGCTTTCGCGAGTGTCTTCGGATCTTCAAACTTGCTGCTTGCACCAGTTCGCTCTCCCCTAGTCGGGCTGAAGGTACCAACAGAGCAGAGAGGTTCTTAACGCTGCAAAACCAGTGAATAAGACTGGACATACTTTCCCCTGCTGTCCTGCTGTCATGCCGCCAGCAAATCACCCCATTTATCATAAGGATGAGAAAGTCTTCTGCTTTCACCATGAGATTCTGTACGAGGCGAAGATCCTTGAGGTCAGATTGACCGATCCAGACGACAGAAAGAGCCCCTACGAGTATCGGGTTCATTACAAAGGCTGGAAAAATACGTATGTACATTTGCCTATCTTAGTTTTCGAGATGACGTGGTCTCTTTGGCTGGATTTTCCTTTCTTTCTGGACGCAAAGCTGACGGATATGTTACAGGTGGGATGACTGGGTTCTACAAGATCGCCTACGCAAAGCGACTGAAGAGAACAGAGAACTTGCCGCTACGCTCCGTCGTGATGTGGAAGCTTCTCTTCGTCAACGATCTAACAAGTCATCGGCGAAAAAACGTCGTAGTTCTGACATGAGCTCCAATCGAAACAGCGAAGAGAGGCATTCATCCGCTCCTGCCAAAGGCACGAAGCGATCAAGAGATGCTGAAATTGAAAAGGTATGTAACCAAGTTTATTTTTGATGCTACCTAGTACATATTGTGTTCCGATTTCTCTGAAAATCACGTATCATAATCATTTTTGTATTGGTTGTTTTTGTTTTTGACTTGAATCGCCATATCGCCTTGTATGACGTGTTGACTTGTGATTTGCCACAGGAGGAGCATTTCAACGCACGCCCATCCGTAAGGATAGTGATGCCTGATAACCTCAAAGCACTCCTCGTAGATGACTGGGAAAACATCACAAAGAACATGCAATTGGTACCACTTCCCGCAAAAGTCTCTGTCAACAAAATCCTCGATACATACTTTGAGGAGGAGAAAACCAAAAGAACTTCCCAGGCTCAAGTGGACGTGCTGGAAGAAGTTTTGTCTGGCATTAGAGAGTATTTTGATAAATGCCTTGGCCGGCTGCTATTATACAGTTTTGAAAGAGAGCAATATCACATCCTACAACGGAAATGGGAATCCGGGGCCGAAGGGTTCGTCGACAAGGGACCATGCGATATATATGGCGCTGAACACCTAGCTAGATTATTTGGTGAGATTTATCCAAAAGGGGCTAAGCTAGCCCTACGTCCCCTACTTGTATTCTGCTCTAGCTATTCTACCTATTATGCAAACCAGCGCTGACAACATCCCCCTTTCGTTCACAGCCTCGTTGCCAGAACTTCTCGCGCAGACGAATCTTGGCCAAGAATCTACCAACCGTCTGCGTGAGGAACTGTCTAAGCTTGCAATCTGGCTGAGTAGGAACTCTGAAAAACTTTTTGCAAGCAAATATAAGATCCCCGGCAACGAATATGTCGACAAGGCAAAGGGAGTTTCAAACCCGGATGCCCCCGGAACCGCAACATCCCGCCTATTTTAGAATCGACAGGTTTCGATGGCCCTCTGACAATGAGGGAATGGACACACAAATATCTTGTGTTGAAACTGGTGATACGGTAGCATCTTTTATACGCGTTTTGCAAAGATGAAATGATATAGGACAACTTAAAGATGTACACTTTGAATATTCTGCAAAATTGTGTCGAGGGAGGAAAGCAAGGGCTACGCAGCCTCCATCGTTGTTCACCCAGGCAGGCCTTTCATACATTTCTGAAATATACTCCTTTCTTTCCTATGAAGTCACGGCATGGATGGGATGATATTGGGTGGTTATCTTTTACATTTGTTTCCCGAGATTTCCGCCACTCTTTTCCACACCTGACGCATACGATCATTTTCGGGCGGTATAAGCACGCTTTTTACACTTTCTCTTGACCCGATTCTTCGTTTGTATTGTCTCTTGCTATGCACCTTAACGGTTTGTAATCTTTTCTCTTTTTTTTAATCTTTTTTTTTTTTTTTTTTTTCCTTTTGCCTCTACTTTTTATCGGCGCTCTTAGGTTTATACGTTATATATATATATATATATAGCTGCTAGATCGAGTTATGGAAAATTTCAGGACGTTCCATTTCTTTGACAACTAATAGAGGAGACATGTATATATTTTCTTCTCCACTCTCGAATTCCTATTTTGTGAGAATGGATAATGTTTTTCCATGGCGATAATCTAAAAGGGCGATGAGTATAGATCTATATAGGTATGACGGGGCCTAGGCCAGTTTAAAACTACCCCCGAAAAGAAAGAAAGAAAGAAAAATAGAAATTTCCTATCCCATCGAACCCAGGCAAAATAAAACCCATGGGATGAGATGGGGAGCGTGCGGGTGGGATGTACAGCGCAACAACTTGACTATGTAGCCGGCTACACAACAACGCTAAATTAATATCATAATGTCAAGAGAAGAGCAAAAATCTTTAAATCCTAAAACGTTAAATACGAAAAGAAAGGACACCGCGCCACACATGTGCGCACGAACGAACCATTAAAACCCTACCGGAATACAACAGGGAACCCCGAGAAGGTCCCCTAGTTCCTCCTTACTCCTTCACTAACTTATCACCACCACCACCTCCTCCCCCTCCTCCTCCTCCTCCGCTCGTATCGACAAGAACCGGCACCCGCTCTGCCTTCGATACAATCACCAACCTAGCATCATCGACTGCGCAGCGCGCGATCCGCTTTAACTTCACCTTCCAATCCGCCTCCCTCCACTTCGCCCAAAGGTTAAGCCCTTCCTGAGACCGGATGCTCAGAGTCTCATACCCTTGCTTGATGATCTGGTGAACTTCGCGCGGGCTGAGGTTTTTCTTCCTGCCAATGGCTAGGATTTCAGCGGCTGGCGTTGGGGTGGTGGAAGCTGCTGTTGGTGTTGTATTCTTGGATTTATCTGCGAGAAAGAGGAGGGAATGGAAATGCGAGGCGACACTGATGAGGGTGTCTATGGAGTGCGTGGCAGAGTCAGTAGCAGCGGTGGCCGGGGCAGCGGTTATGACTTGTGCGTTTGCGGGTTTGTTGGACGTTGACGGTATTGTTGGTGCGGAGGAGAAGGAGCGTTCGTAAATATCCTTAAAGCGGGTGAGTATGGGTCCTGTCTCAACGACTTTGTAGAACAGATCATCGTACGACGCTGGGTCTGGGAGGAACGTGTCGCCAGCGGATATGCAGAAGGCGATTAGGTCGATGAGGGAGGTAGCGAGGCTGTGGATTTGAGGGTTTGAGGTGAGACTCGTGGAGTAGGTTGTTAGGAAACGGGTGAGAGTGAGTAGGGTCCGCCAGAGCTCGGACCAGTGGTATGCAAGGCGTGTTTGGGTTGAGGAGACGTAGGTGAGGAGGCGGAGGAGGATGGAGATTGTATGACTGTTCAATTTAGTCCGTTAGTGTATGTCTGTGTCACCTGTGGCATAATAATCGAGGTACGCACCAATACAAGTCGACGTCAAGTTCCCTGCGGAGGTTGTGGTTGATAGCATCAATCATGATATCGAAGACAACAGTCGCAAGGATTCTGTCTTCCTGTATCAAAGGGAGATACGGTGCTCGCTGGCGACAAAGTCGTACAGGGCGCTTCATCTTCTCGCTACAGATCTGTTTACATTGCAGGGGACTTCTTCCACGAGTATGCGAAAGTGAGAACAGATTGGTCTCTGCATAGAGTGTTGCCCTGGTCGATCGATATGCATGTTGTAGTAAATATGATGTAAATGAGAGGAAACTTGAAAAGGGGGGTTTCTTCAGAGCGCTTCTCTTGGCATGTATGAGACAAAAATGAAGCCAAACAGCTTATTCGCGTTGATGAAATCGTAAATGGCAAGTAATATGGTCGCTTCGGGAGAGGGACTTTGGTTTTGTCAGAAACCACTGTTCTCCGCTGCACATATTGAAGGGGGGACAAAGAAGGAATCCACCTACAGAGCTCCAAATCGTGCTTTAGCCTCTTCTGGAGTCAATGGTGTCTTAGCTCTGCGACCAGGAGCTAACGCCCCAAGGCCAAAGAAGGCTAAAGTTGAGCTCAAATTCCAGCCCTCAGGAAGATCATCCTGAACGGCAACATATCCGTTGCGCAATGCAGTGCATGTTACGCCAGTTCCACCGACAATTTTCTGAATCGTAGATTCGTTTACAAAGTCATCAAGTCGTAGCTGGTAAGGGTTCTGGAATTCGAATTTGTTGTAGTTTGATAGAAGCCCCAGGAGTACAAACGGCTCAAAGATTTGAGTGCGGATGTTTGAATCATGGATAAACTATAATTTGATCTGCAATCAGTATAAATTGGTTTTTGGTTTCGTGAATGTAGGAGAAGATATCGTCCAACCTTCATCAGGGCAGGGAAAATATCCCGATGCATGAAATAAGATATAAGACTTGTTTTGTAGCCTCCGCTAGTCATTGATATTGCAGCCTCAACAGCTTTGAGACGTATTTCAACTATTTTGATAAGAGCTAATTAGCTACTATAATAATAAAGAAAGCATATTCCTTTAAAACATTTCGTATAGAGTACCATACAGCTGGTTCCGTTTCGTATGATCCCGTCCAGGGCCGCGACAAAGTTTGCGATAACATGGTCGACTTCGTCAATGCCAGCAAGGACGGTGATGATATCAGAACTCGGGTTGGTGTACTTCTTAGTTAAGACGCCACCTAAGAAAGTTGTCAAGGTCTGTTTTCAAAGCTCTCAGTAAGTCTTTTTGGGCGGGAAATTGAGAATGCAGTCGTGCTAACCTCTAGCGCATAAATATTTGATGGGGATTCCCCAGCAGCAGCCTCTTTTATGGCCTTGGAGAACAGCTGTTGAGTGTGAAACTACAGATCATATTAGTCAGATTCTAGACAACTACCTAACTATGCATGCGAATAGACAAACAGGCACATACATGAATTTGCAAGATGTCATCAGGACTGATAACGTCCAGTATCTGACTCAATCGAACCCTCTGCGGAGGGAGAAGAAAGAATTCTCTCCAGAATCCTTCCGACGGCTCTGCATCCTCAGCGTTCTAAATCATTTATTAGAAGAAGGCCGGTGGATATATATTGGCTATAGCGGTTTGAAATAGTTGCAACATACAAGGAATAGGGTCTCGTAAAGCTTGACGATCTTGGGCTGGAAGGTGTCTGGTCTGGATTGTTGGGTTAGCGGGGAGGATTCCATGATTATGGGGAAGACGACGCCCGACGGTCGCGCAGTTTCAAGGTCTATTAGCAGTGGGTGTGTCAGTAAGACATAGACATTCAAGGGTATTCATTGTCCCGCGACCAGAATACAATAAGCATGATTGATAGGGCATTTTTACACATGGATCGCGTTCAGCCGCTTGTGGCTTTTACCTCCCCAACATACCGCTTAGTCAGTGTTAGCCGCGCGGTTACTAGTGCGCCCAACTGTTTGCCCCGTGGATCAGTATCTTAGACCTCGGCACGCAGAGAAATCAACTGCGTCTGTGCTTTAATCCAAATAAAAGAGATTATTTATATTCAAGCGACCACTGCTGGCTACTGCTGCATAGGGAAACCATAGTATGAAACAGCCACACGAGATCCTGAGAAGTTATCGGCGGTAGCCCTCTATACCGTACTGATAGGATACTCACGAACGCAGGACAATGCGTTGAAACCCGAGGCAGCTGATTGGCGGAAATTGGTGTTACTGTGATTAGTCACCCACCCCCGGACCGCATTCAACCGACTGCTGCCATGGTTTTTGTCATCCCAAAACCCTTCGTCCCTGGATGATTCCTATCATTGACCATCTTCCCTTGCTCTTTCAACGCACCACCCTCCTTGGGTTGTGTATGCCATATATATAGACTATTGTCGATTTATCTTCTCTTGACCATGTCGTTCTGTTCTGCTCTTCACCCAACGGTGACATCATCTGGTCTCCTCCGATCAGTGACCACCAAGCTGCCTCGACGAGCGGCATGTCCTCTTAGCCTCCGATCATTCTCATCATACGGCTCATCCAACCATTCCTCGAAGCGCAAATTACAGACCGCAACCGCCTATCAACCTTACTCTCTTCTAGAGTCTCTCCCGCCCCCCGCTCGTAATTCAGACAGCGTATCCGAAGCCTCAATCGTTGTCGATAAAAATTCAATGCTCGGCAAATGGCAATCGGGATCAACTAATCGCCCACATCCACAACCACAGCAACCTGAGAGCGTTGAATCCATCAACAAGTCAAACGCTACCAGTTACCCAGAAGTTGAGGCTCAGGTTTCTAAGCTGATAGCTCCCTCCTCTCCCTCCCCTTCCGTCTCCGCAACCCCCTCCGCAACCGCAACCACCACCCCCCCAACATCCGCACAATCCCTAACACCCAAAAAAACACGACGGGTTAGCAAACTGAAAGCCCGGGAAGACGGCAATGCACATCACTCCTGAAGCTATTTTTACATCTTTCGCCAACTAACCGAACAGCCCGATCCTAAGTTGGTTCGCGTTGGCGTGAAGAATAGGGGATGCTCAGGGTTATCTTACCATCTAGAATACGTGGATAAACCCGCGCCATTTGATGAGGTGGTGGAGCAAGACGGAGTCAAGATCTTGATTGACAGCAAGGCCTTGTTCAGCATAATTGGCACTGAAATGGACTGGCAAGAGGACAGCCTAGCCAGCCGGTTTGTATTCAAAAATCCAAATATAAGTAAGTGACTTAGGTCTCTTTTCGTCCCAAAATTTCGACACGAATATATATATATAGCTTGCTGACTATGGCTGTGGTGGCAGAGGACCAATGCGGCTGCGGCGAATCGTTCATGGTGTAAAGATTTATCTACAATGAAAGAAATTGGTTGGACTTTGTTTTTATAGGTACATACACAAACGTTATATCTCCGGGGTGGATTGATCATCCGGAGTTTGGGATGAGATTTCTTCTTGGCTGTTTTCAATTTTCTAATAACCTCTGAAATTTTTCTTATATTAAGTATTGTCATTTTTATGGATATACCCGTCTCCACTATCTATGTCACATTTTATTCTAGAGGAGCTCTTCTCCCCCGGCCTCCTCTCTTTTCTTTCTTTGCTAATTGGAAAGATAGCCTAAGCGAAGTGTATACAGCCAACA